ACTGGAGGAAAAAAAAGGGGGTTTTTGAGGAGTGTTAGATTCTCCCTCAGACGCCTTTCTTCTTTCTCTTAGTTCTGTCAAGCTCAAGAGGTTTAGCTTTGTGTGAAAATCAAAAGGTTTCCAATGCTTGCATGTAAACCCAACCTTTCTTAGCTGAACCTTCAAGTTTCCTTCACATGTTTTTACTCTTGTGTTCATGAATTTGAAGCAAAGTGAAGCGGCTAATGGTTAAGGTTGATGGTTAAATGGACGTTTATGAGCAGACTGAGAAATGTTTCAGTCTATTTTGTCCACCAGACATCCTTTAGAATTTCACTGGAATTTTGCCTCTAAAAATGTCTCAAATTAAAAAGATTGGTCCTTTTGTTGTTGCTCTAATACACTGTCAATACAGGTGAGATTCATGGTCTGTGTCTGACCTCACAGAGAGTAAAGCAGTAAACAAGTCCAAATTTTCCATTGCACACAATGCTTTCAGCTGAAAGAAGGTCAGAGGTCACTATGACTGCTGAATCTAATCATGTACTCTTTCTACCTTAACTGTTGCATTTATAGTTGTTATATGGAAACATATGAAAAGTTTTAAAAATCTGACCTGAAATCAGCTTGCGTAGATTTTGATATTTTCATTACACAGTCAGATACACTTATATAAAATAATTTTTCTAAAAATCGGTAAACGACCTAACAATAGCCGTCAAAGCTTTATCCAAAAACCAAAATTTAGCTTTTAGCTAAAAAGTAGTTCTAGAAAACCAGAACTTTTTCTACAGTATGTACTACTCTCATAATGGGGGAAAAGAATCAGGGGAGAACAAGAACACAAACACATCAGAAAATGACCAGACTGTCGCTGAAAATATAGAACGGATGTAGAAGAGACAAACAAACATAAATTCCACACATGGTTGGCATATTTTTTCCTCCATATAAACACTGTCATTCTTTCCTTTTATTTCCTGATGCATTCAAACACTGTCACTGCTAAAACGATGACAGGCCCACAAATAAAAGCACTGTCAAGCTGTTGACACAACCACAACACAATGTGTCAAAAAAAGCTCATTAGCTCGTTAACATGATTGGTCCTGGTGGTGGTAAACGCCGCCTCCAGATGTTTTTTGGAGATTTTAATCCTGAACCAACACTTCCTCATTCAGAATTATAGTATAGCTTTTTTATAAGAAAAAGAGAAAAAAAAATACAAAATAGTCATCACCAAAGACCTTTTCAATTTTTTTTTAATTATTTAAATATGCAATGCAACAGACGGAAGTATATTGTAGTAAACACCAGTCTGCTGTGATTTATTTATTTATTTTCGTCACCATAAACGAACAGTTGACAAAGCAACAAAATCAATATTTCCAAAGCACTGAATTATCGGGGAATTTCGGTTTTGAAGAAAATGCTTGTCCTGAACCAATCGTACGGATGGCTGTGATTTAGAAACCACATCATCAGGACCTTGAAGGCACCACTGGTAAATTAAACACAGTTATTCCTCTGATTATCTACAACTGTGTTTTTCCTGCTGTTGGAACATACTGCTGTTTTTTTCCTTCTTCTCATCCCAGTCTGACCTTCTCTTACAATCGCCACAAATTTCCCATTACACACAGGGTGCTTTCAGGTGAAAGAAGGTCAGAGGTCACTACGACTGCTGAAACTACTGAAAATAGGAAGGAAACACTCATTCAATTAATCTGAAACTTAGAAGCAAGAATAATCTTTTGCTTGTTGCACAATAAAATAAAAAGGGAAAGAAACATCTGTTGCCTTCAGTGTAAGCCTGTTTTTGGCTGACAGGAAACACGCGTATGTGCGTGTGTGTGTGAGACAAAGGAAGAAGAAAAGGAAGCATAACGAGAGAAAAGAACAGGAAATAGTGAAGAAAAGCGAAGAAAAAACAGGGAGTGCATTGAAAACGAGTGTACAGCTGCAGGATAAAGCGTCTCATTCATTCTGAATGGAAATGAATTAAAACTAAAAATATCATAACCGCTACAAGGAGGAGGATGCTCCAGCATAAAGACATTCAGTAAAGAGGCAAAAGTAGGGAAGTAGGGAATTCATGTTCATTCAGAAATTAAGGCCAAGAATCTTGAAGAGCCAAACTTCATTATGTATATAAATATATGTGTATGTAAGTATATGTATATATAAGTATATATGTATGTATGAGAGAAGGTATCATGGACACCGTCCTCTTTGTTGTCGTCATCTTTGAAGAAATCTTTGAAGATTAGCTGGTGTTTAACAGCAGCAGTGGAGCATGCATCGTCAACATGCACAGGCCACGCTTTTCTAAAGTCCTGCTGTTTGCAAACAGTGTGCACGTAGAGGTGGATGACAGCACTCCATGCTTCCATTCATGTCAGCCCTTTCGCTCAGAAACTAATTATAGTTCGTTCTGTGTCTCGTCAATGAAACCTGAGAGATTTTAAATCACCTACACTGTTCACGCTCCTGCGTCAAACCTCCAAACTTTTTTCTTTCAGCTTCCATGTCCTGATCAGAATGTAACCTACCTGTGTGCACCGTCTTACTGTGTTCCCTTTTATCCCTCCAAACATTATTCTTTTTGCAAACTTCGCTGCAATTTGTCTTCCTGCAGTGGACCAGTACCACCATGTCCCTTATGTTCTCTACACCAACATGGACATAATAGTCCACCTTAACCACCAGTCCCTTTCCTTTAGGGACATGTTCTGCCACCTTTTTTAATCTTGTTCCTGCTGTGTCTGAAATTGAACTCATTTGGTTGAAAATGGTTACGGTTAAAAATTGCAGCTTTAATATCAGACATCACTCATCATATTTCTCCTTTCCTGTCAAAGTTAACTTTTTAATGATTGTTTTTGCTCTTCTGAATAGTCTTATATTCCTACATTATCCTTCCACATTCCTTTTGTCTAACAGAAGTTGACTTTAAATCTATGAGAATATTCAATTGCATTTTAAAGCTCAGACATTCAGGGGAGATAACAGTCAGCATGTGTCACCATCTGCTCTGGTTTTGCCTGTCATTCGTTTTCCCAAAGGTTACCCAACATGTGTGTGTTTGTTTTTATGTGTGTATCTTTATTGACGTGTGGGTGACATCTGAATTGACTGGAATCCATACTTGTGCCGGGGACACTGTGGGGTGTCGTGTCATTCAGTCGTCCACGTCCACTCCACTGCCAGTATTGGTCTGCAACCTTTTAACACAACTATTTTGGGAAACCAAATTGAAAAGACTCAATTGACCTTTTGGGCTGTTTTTGTTTGTTTGTTTGTAATACCATGGCTCATACTGGCCACAAACATACACAAATACACAGTACACAACACACAGCCACTGCGAAATACTCTACGACGTCTACAACGTCCACACCAATATTATAACGTTAGAGCCGTGATCCAGAAATGACTGAAAAAAGATTTGTTGCCAAACAAAAGAAACTTCCATTTATTAAACTTTAAAGACATGTTGGAATAAGGATGTGAGAGGATGTGAGAGTAGTTTTGGTGAAGTAGTGCAAGGATGTTGACGAATGAGAGCTCCCTGGAACGAACCCTGAAGTTCTCTAATCTCTTCTTTCTGCCCACACCTGGTTTCATCCCCTTATCTCTTCCTCCTCTTTTATCACTCTCTTCCTTCTGTTGCGGAATGTCCACTTTGTGATATCACAACATGAGGGCATGCTGGGAGAATCCGGCTGCACATTCTGATATAAAAGTCTGAGTTGTTCTAATGGCCAGTAAAATGTCAATAATAAAAAAAAGTTTAAGGTAAAATATTTTTTATTAAAATTCAATAACTAATAGATGATGTTAAAATCGATGCTGTCCTCATAAATTATTGTGAGAAACAGCATTCTGTTTTTCTGGTCCAAAGGTAGTGGATACCAAGTTAAAAAGTACAAATAGAAAGAAAAAGGTACAAGGTGAGGAGAAAGGTTGCCTCTAGATTATGGTCTGTTGTTTTTCTAAAAGGTGTCAGGAAAGACAGAAGACTAAAGATTGCACTGATAAACTGAAGGTCCTCTACATTACTGCAGCAGCCAAGGCCAGCTTACTGTCTACTGACTTACAGGAAATACGGCTGCTGTTATGGAGTTTAATGATGTTCACCTGTCGATTTTAGTAGCGATGTAGGGAAGAGGAAAAGATGCAGATCTTTGCAGAAGATGCAAAAGTAGAAAACTTTGAGGTGCTCTGAGCAAGGCACCGTCCCCTTAAACTGCTCACTTTGGTGATGGGTTAAAGCACTTTGTCACAATGACAAATAATTCACTTTCACTTATTTCAGGTACTACGCCATCTGCTGTCAGCCGCTGGTCTACAGGAACAAGATGACACCGATGAGAGTGGCTTTGATGATCGGCGGCTGCTGGGTTATTCCCACCTTCATCTCTTTTCTGCCCATCATGCAGGGCTGGAACAGCATTGGCATCGACGACGTGGTGAGTCGAGGGTAATGACACCGGGTTGATGCTGGAACAAACAACGCAAACTCAAAACTAAGTTGGTTTAAATGTTTTATTATTTCTTCTTGGTATGCTGCTACTAGAATAGAAAATGAAAAAGCCAGAAATTATTTTTTTTGGCTTGGAGTTGAGTTTATCATTTTTACACACAGAGAAGGTCCAGGACAAGGAATATAAAAAAAAAAAAGAAACTCCAAACAAAACGTTTTTATCCTAATTCTTTCTCTACGTTTTTGAGACACATTTGTGTATATATATATATGGGTCAGTAAGCAGAAGCAGATTTAAGAAATCTAGTTACATTTTGATATAAAAACAAAAGGTTTAATAATAGGTCTACAAGTTGGAGGTATACTAATTTAATAATTAACTAAATACTATAAACTGAAATGTTCTAAAGTTGAAAAGTTCTTTAAAAAGTGTCTTGTTTACACATACCGTTTTTCTGATAGTGTAAAAAAATAGTAATTAAAAAATTAGATTTTTGTGGATTTATGGTCCAGAAAAAGTCCTTGTACCGTATTTGATAAAGATCCTGTCTTCAGAGAAGCACTGTCTGCCCCACATGTGAGGAATAAAAAAAAAGAGAGAAGAGTAGTGACAAAGGTGTGCAGACGAGGACAGATGGCAGCCCAAGTGTGTGGAAATAGGAAAAAAATAGAGAGTGAAATTCCCGGGACATTGCTGACCTCCCTCCCCTCTGTCCTTCACTAATCAGAGTTTTTTTTTAGTTCAAAGCAGAACGTCGCTGTCTTGATTTTTGGCAATTGTGGCAGAAAAGCGCACACACTCTAACACACACTATACACACAAAGATGAGTTGACAACACGACAGCCGTCTAAAGTTAGTCTCTCTGTGGGTCTAATTAGAGCTGTTGAATATTCTGAATAGACGCTCCGCTCCGGTACAAGCTCCAAATTCACAACAAATAGCCAGTTGTGCGCCAAGATGGATGATGGTACAAATAAGTACGTACTTTTGTAAAAAATAAGACAATCTCATGTGATATTTTTGAACATAATTGTTTTATTAATTTCATTTATACTTTAATTTAATATCAATCCAATACTTCAGGGGCATTACAATTATTACATTTTGCGACGTTCCATAGATGTAACGAGCAGGTTTTCTCTGCACAGTCTGATTGTTTATTGAGTCTCAGCAGTGTTTCTCAAAGCATTCCCCGTCCAATCATCAGTGCTTTTTTCTACTAGGATAGGATGGAGGTGAGTTTCATTCTTTCCAGGCCACAAGTAATTACCTCCTTCAAAGTGGTTTTGAACCAGACGACTGTTCTATTGTAATCTATTCTATTGGATCAAAGGATTAAAATGGTGTCAATCATTTATTCTTATTGTTTCCCTGAGAAAAGGGAGGTATTTAAATGTGTTAAAAATAAAAATATATATATATTTAAAAAAAGGCTCTTCAGGGATTGAATAAAGTAACAAATATCAATAATCCATTTAGTTAAAACTGAAAAATCACCTTCTTTTTGACAGTGCTAAAACATCCCAAAGTCTTTCAAATGTCCTTTCACAAAGACATGTCTTTATTAAAACTGTAGCTGTGCTCTGCTTCACTTCAGTCAAACTGAGACAATGCTGATAAAGCATAGTATCAGCATTGTTTCAAGGGACTTTGCACCATAAAATGTTAAATTAATGAACTGTGAGATTTACACCAGATCCATTGTTTTACAGCTGTTCCATACTCGTGACCTCCTTTTCTAAGAAATCCAGTGTCATTTTCATTTGAAAAACTGCACTTACTATATTTAATTCATGTAAACTGTTAAGGTTCTCCAGCTGTCTTCTCTTCTCTTCTCTTCTCCTGGTCCACTGCCATCGTCTCTAATTCTATTTTTCACTTTTGAAGTGATGCCATCAATCTATTAAGAACACTGCACTTCACTGTTTGGCAATCTGGGCTTCAGACACTTCTGAAATGACATCAATGCGTTGCTTCAGAGATGATTTCAGCAAGAAAAAAAATCCATGACTCAAACATTATAGAGAATAAATGAGCAAAAGCTTTTCTTTAAATCCCAGATTTCTTTCAGGGAATTATTTATTTAATATAATAAAATTATGTGAAAAAAAAACCCAAGATGTGCAGACATTTAAGAGCAAAATGCAAAATGTGAACGCGGCAGGACATCGGCGCCACATGCTGCGTAATAGATTAGCACTCCTGCAGGTAATCCTGCTATCGCTGCACATCACTGTCCTTTAAACACAGTTTACTCTTGGTCGTATACAATAAAAAACAACTGAAAAAAATCCTAAAACTTTAACTAAAGTATCCTGCACGGATTTAACCTGTTTTCGTGCCCTGTCTTTTTTGAACATATAGAATCATGCTGTGGTTTTAGGGTCAAGTGGTGATGTAATGTCTCCAGCAGGTGCATATGACCTAACAGTTCTGGTCATGTGTGTTCATCTTGTCCTCATTGGCCTACAGTAAAAACTCCCAACCCTTCTACCATGGACGACAGCAGCCCATTCATAAATCCAGCGTGTCTTTCATACACTGAATCGTGGCTTCCTGCAAAAATATGAATTGATTTCTGTATTATTCATCACATCAAGTCGGGAACTGTGGTTTTCCTCTGAGATGAGATGATGGCAGAAGACAAACAGGAGGATGGGACTTGACTGTGATTAATGGTACAAAGCAGAGCCCCCCCCCCCGAGGAGCTGTGTTCCTCTTTTCCTCCACTCTCTGAGGAGGAGAGAGCAGGAGTTTTTTTTTTTTTTTTAAGGCTTGTTTTAAAGTCTGGAGCTTTTTCGGTTTCTATGCGTAGCATAAAGTGCAGTGTTCCGCAATTTAACATTTGGCCAAATCAACTCTTTTATTACGTATTTGTCATGTCTTTTACAGACAAGTATTTGTAGCAAGTAAAACAAACACTAGCATGATGAGTATTTGTGTTTTAGTAGCAAAGATATGCGTTACTAAAAAGACCAGTGGTTGACATTGAACAACCTTTGGATTTTCTGTTGTAAAAACATTTATTTAGACTACCTCATCTTTGGAAGTTTAGAGTTCTGCAGCTGGATTTATTTATTTTTTATCTATTCACATCTCATCAAAGAAGCTTCTTTACCTTTGACTGGCAAGTAACAAACGTCAGGTCTCTGAGTAACACCTCATTAGAAGGTCTTTATGTCAGACACTGCAAGTCGTCAAGTCTCTGACCTAGTTTAACAGTTCATAGATCGATTTAAGTCAAGACTCGAAATGAAATTCTTTGATCCAGCACATCAATCAGAAATCAAACCAATTAAACCTTTTTTGTGTGTGCAACATTTTGATTGAAATCTGTGAGATATAATGTTCAATGTGTCCACTTCTTTTCAGACATTTCTTTATTATAATTGTAAAGATTTAATTCTGTGCATCTTTTATATAATCTATTTTAAAAACTACTTTACTTTACGAGTTGCTGTGAGACCCGTTAATTTATGTATTTATTTATTTATTTTACTCTGTATCTCCTACACATTATCTTCATTTTTTAAGCACTAGTGTGACACCAGTGAACCCCCTTGAGGGTCAAGTATTTGTGATTCCGACTCTCCATGTTGTTCAGTTAAACGTGAACAAATAACCTTCACTGACAAAACAGTGTAAAAGCTGTGTTGTAATGCAAAATGAGCGTTTAACACATCCATCCAGAGTTCTTTCTGCGTAAAAAAAGGGCTTCATATTGGAGCCTGTTCATGTACAGCAATCTGGTCTACAGACTCTTGACTCCAAAAGGTTTCAAAAACAGGTGTTAATGTTCCAAACTGTGTATTTTTGGCAAGCCTTATTTTGTCAGGCTGTGAAATATTTCTTCATTTTGTGATAAAAAATTACCATTTAAAAATGTGTTGCCTACTTCTGGACATCCCTGAGTCACATGACCTTGAAGACTGATGCCTGATTTCATTGTTTCTAACCAGATCGAGAAGCGACGCCACAGTGAAGGCAGCAACTCCACGTCCTGTGTCTTCATGGTCAATAAGCCATACGCCCTCACCTGTTCTTTGGTGGCCTTCTACATCCCACTGGTCCTGATGGTGCTGGCCTACCAGAGGATCTACATCACAGCCCGAGCCCACGCCCTGCAGATCAGCATGCTGCAGCGAGCAGGAGGAGCGGGAACCAACACACCCGTCATCTCTGGTTCCAGTCCCGGTGCCGGACCGGGCGCCGCGGCCGCAGACTCTGCCGACCATCAACGGCACCACCGCATGCGAACAGAGACAAAGGCGGCCAAGACACTGTGCATCATTATGGGGTGCTTCTGCCTCTGCTGGGCACCGTTCTTTGTGACCAACGTGGTGGACCCGTTTATAGACTACACAGTGCCCGACCAGCTGTGGGCAGCCTGCCTCTGGCTGGGCTACATCAACTCCATGTTGAACCCCATCCTCTACGCCTTCCTCAACAAGTCTTTTCGCCGTGCCTTCCTCATCATACTGTGCTGTGGGAGGAAGAGGTACCGAAGACCATCCATCCTGGGGCCCACTGCCCCCTGTACTGCCACGCAGATCAACGGATCCACACATGTTCTCAAGTAAGTTCTCTTCATCTAATGATATCTTACTGGTTTAGACTGCGTGTATGTAAGCTGCTTGATTTCCTTTATGTATATTATTTATGTATATATATGTGTGTGTGTGTATATGTACAGTATATATAAATACTGCATTTGTTATCCATGCTTAATCAAAATAACAGTAGAATACAGCAGCCTATGGCCCAACCTCATTTTGCTAACCTTGGTATTTGGCTATAGAAAGCAAAAACAAACAGACCACACAGGTTTTTCAAAACTATTCAGCACTTCCTACCTACAAATGCATAACATTTTCTAATCTTATTCCCTTTTTTATTAATAGAACATGTGCTGGTTTTGATAAGAGTCCATCATTTAACGCGTGCTTGGCCTTTCACATCTTCATACAACTCTTTTGTCCTCGTTCATCATCTTCCCAACAGAATTGAATGATTTTATCTTTTTTATTTAGTGACGTGGTTGTACATCTGCAGCCTATTGTTCACATAATCCTCTTTACACAGGGAAGGTTAAGCAGGTCATGATGTGATCACAGTATGTGTGAGACATGTATGAATAATGCATGGAGGTCATGGTATTCATTTTTCTTGTTCTTCTCATCATATTTAATTTTATATATATATATATATATATACATATATATATATATATATATATATAAATTGGATTTGCACAAATATGTGAGCGAAAAAATAAACAGTACATGAGAGAGCGTTCCATGGTTATGTGGCAGATGTATATAGAAACTGGAGACAGTCGTTCTTAGCCAGAAATGTTTAGACAATTACACACAGCGACACTTTGGGTCTGACCTTCAAGGTGATTATTTCTACCTCTATTTAAGGAAAGACCCATTAAAGTATCTACAGGCATTCAGCCTCTGTCTTCTTTGCTCCTAGGTTGCGTTTACTGCAGGATTCTTGTTTCTGTGACACAAACTCATGTTTTTGTCTATGATGAAGGAGGACAATCTCCTGCAGGGGTCTTATTGAGACCCCTGAGTAGACATTACTTCTCTTGTTGTTACCACAGGTGATACGTTTTATCACAGGATTATGTGGTTTGTTTATTTATGTTCTATTTTAATAGGTTACATGAAGTTTACCATGTGGGGAAATCTGGTTTCAGTGGATAGAATCATATGAAATAGAAAGACGAACTTCCAGTTGTTTTAATAAACTTCTTTTACGGACCGGCCCGTGGAACATCATCCTGTTCAGCTCAGATGCTGCAGATCCTCTGAGACTTTTTTCTCTGAGACCATAGAAAAATCAATTTGTCTGAGTGATTTGATTCAGTGCAGTAGACCCCTGTGGGACTGTAGTAACATCAGTCCCACTCCAAGGTGGTGCTGACACACTGACACATTGCTGCAGTGGAAGTCAGCGTGAATGTGTGTGTTTTTAGAACAGCACAAACGCCTCGGATTACTTCATATTCATTTCTTATAGTCTTTTTTTTTTTTAAATGCCTTTTGTTTTGAATTTACACAATTTAGGCTTATATAATATATAATATATATAAGTGTTTATGGTAACTATTTTTACTAACACTAATTAAGAACATTGTTAATTAAATAAAATTGAAGTAGACGAACACTGTAGGCCAAATACTGGCATCTTTTTGTTTCATGTTTTCCTAGACCTTTTGTTTACTTTGTTTTTCTTCGTCACTCCTTGACTGTGAGTAATGCTGCTATAATTTGTCCTTTGTACAAATAACAGGTTAGAGCTACATAAAGTAGAATAGAATGCGATCACTCCATCAGAGTGTAGCCCGCAGAGCTGCTCCACCGCAGAACTTCCGCAAGAATTTTTTTTCCTACCCCTTAATTACCATCAATATCACCACTGACAGGTATTTATTTCTCCCAACAGTAGCTGCAGTGAGTAATTTGCATTTTCATCAACAACAGTTCATTCTAGAACATAATGGAAGGCGTTAAAGTTGGCTGTTGTGTATTGTTAATCTTGCTTGGCTCGTATACGCAGTGCGTCAGGCGTTCTCAGTATGTTCCGGCAGTGTGCGGTTCAATAGAACATACACGGTGCTCTGACACTGAGCTTCACAGCGTCTGAACATGCGTTGTCCTACTCCTCGTCTCCTTGGAGAGCTGCAGACTTGACATGTGGGCTGTTCATACCTTCACCTTTCATCCATCAGCTTGGACATGCTTCTAACCTGAATGAACATCCGTGCAGGGCTTCGTAGCGGGGGAGGATGTGGATTCAGGGTCAGTCCTTTCTATTTTTGTCTCCCTGACCTGGAACACTTTGAATATCTCCACTCGTGCCTTTCAACAGATGACGAATATTTAAACCACACTCCCCCCGCAGACGTGATTCACAACGATGATTCACAGCAATCAATGTGTTGACGTGTGATTGGGGATTCATGCCTGGAGCGGCAGCAGCACTGGAATCTGTTTAGAACTCAATACTTAATGTTGATGTTGTTTTTACATCATCTCTGCATGTGTAATGGAACATTATTGGAGATGAATGTTCTATTTTCACTTATTCGTTCATCTTCTACGGCCTAATCTGGTTCAGGGCTGTGAGGGGTTTGGCGAGGTGATCCCAGCAGTCATCCCAGCAGTCATCAGGGGAGGGCAGGGTCATCCTGAACAGTTAACCAATCACAGTTCACAGTGATAACCCCCCCCACACACACACACTCATACATGAATACCATCAATTACTTCTGGGGATTGACCTGGTGATTTGCTGTAATCCACTTCACCACGTTTCCCTGTGAGAGAAAATATTCTCATCTATATCAGCGGTTCCCAAACTTTTTGGCCACGCCCCTCCCTTTTATACCCCATCAGGGTTGATGGTTGAGGCCATTTCACACACTCCCTAGTAGCAGCTCGCACACCCTGAGGAGTGCATGCATCAAAGTTTGGGAACCTGATCTATATCATATAAAACATCTGTAACAAACAAATACTTCAAATATAAAAGTATTTACATATAACATTGTACACAACTAAAGTCTGAAAAAAGAAGAAATACAGGACATATTTAAAAAAGTCAGACATTATGAGAAAAGCTGATATATTTAAGGGATATATTTGTCATTCCTCTTTATCCATTTTATTCTTTTTTTCCATTATTCTTGATAATAAGTTTTTTTTTCAACTCATTGCATGATATAATAACATACAATTATTACTAATGAATGTGTCACAACAAGAAATAATACCGTCTTAAGAATTTGATTCATTGTTCTTTCTTTCTTTCAGTCTCACTGGGCTTCTCAGAACAGTGTAGGAGCTTCATACTCTTCTCATCTGTAAGCTCATTTTAGAATTTCTTTCTTAAATCATGTGTGATGGGAAGAGCCTCACAGACTTCCATCTTCTCTTTGCTCTCTTTTTAAAGCGTTGCTCCTAATCCATAATTTTTTTAGCTTCTATTTGGGTTATCTTACCATCTTAGCCTCTTGCATAAAGTGTGTGTGTGCTTCAGTTTATCTCTTCACAAATCACTCACAGAGAGGACAAATCGTGTTTGTTGCTGTTGCATATTCTTTTCAGTCCTTCATATTGTGAATGCGCTCAGCAGAGTTTGGCTTTTCGGGCTTTGCTAAGTAACAGCATTGTCTTCTAAAAACATGAAGACAACAAAGATCAACTCAATTCAAACCCTGAGTAATGGAATCTGTGCTCATTATTCTTTAAATGTCCTTGTTTTTAGATGACGACAAACAGCTTCTGTTCACAGGTGTGAACATCTACAAAACCTTAGGTGTTTGTAGGAGTCCTGTCACTCATCATTTTACTACATATTCTAATTTGAAGGACATATTTTGAGTAATACCACATACTCCTAATAGTGAAACATGAATTAAAGCTGTTTTAGGAGTTATATAATATTCAGATTAATGCTACATTTAATGACACATTTTTAAGATGTGAAAAACTACAGGTGTGTGGCTGCACTCTACTAGAAAATTGCAAATGTTTTTTCTCAAAGATGCCTAAAAACATCTTGGATAGTAAATATATAGATTTTATAGTAAATGCAAAGTTGATAAAAGCTTCAGGTTTTTACTCACTACCTGAAGTAGTGCCAAAACACAGAAGTTTTAATGACTGTGATACTGACTATATTTATATCATTTATATAAACATTGGTTTCTAATAGATGCACAAGTATTTTCTCCATTTGGACTTGGACTCTGCACCTTTGTGGTTAAACAGTACTGTGTTTCTTTGTTAATAACCAAAACCCTTCACAGACAGCACAGCTTACAGTAGGTACTGAGAGACACGAGTGCAATTAAACCTTGTTTTTTTTTTAAATTAAAATCATCAGTTTAAGATAGTCAACTTCAGAGTTTCTCCTCATGTTTCACTTATTAGTGTGGTCGATTACTATATTCTTTCTCATTAAGAGCCTTTGCTGTGATTAATTGCTTCGACTGAGGAAGTTAAAAAGATCCACCGTGTACAGTGTTTTGTGTCATAGATTCTTTAGTTAAACTTGTTCTTAAAGTTTCCCCTGACAACAGGAAACAAGCGTCAGCCGAGTCAGGCATGAATCCACCATAGGGAAAAACACTAAAAAAAAAACTGCTTCAAGGCGTAAACAGTGAGACATTGACGTATAAAGCTGTGCGTTTTTCAGAACATTTATTCTTATACATGATTTCCTGTTCTGTTTTGGAACAAAATAAACTTCCGAGCCTCCTGTGGGGTTGTGGCTTCGACTTCATCAACCCTCACACTGCTTCGACAGATTGGACTGTTTATTTCCCAGTTGGAGGGATTTTTAATTTTTTGACTGTAAACTACCAAAAATCTGAGAAAGCCTAATGTGCAGCAGTCACGTTCTAGTGACTGACAAAGCCAAAAGACTTTTTTTTTCTGTATTCCTGATAGCCTACTACAACGGGTCTTATTTTTACAGTGAACGACTCATAACTCATTAGAAACAGCCCTACAGCTCCTTCATGTTTCACAGCCGCAGTCAGTGTCTGCCTTCAGCCTC